TACCAACGTGCAATACTTTCTCTATACCACTGCACCACACACTCATTTATATTTATATATAATATCCTATATGTTATATCAATATTTTATAATCTTATATTAGATATTTTAGCTACTAAATGAACTTAAATGAAAAACTTTTAACAATAAGTTTTAAATTTTGTTAAGTACTCTCTCCATCCCAAAATAAGTGTTGCTATGGTATTCGTGCCGGTCAAACATTTTAAGTTTGACAAGGTTTATAGAAAAAATTAACAATATCTATATATCCAAATAAGTTTATTACAAAAATAGATTCAATGATTTGTTTAACGATACTAATTATGTACTATAAATATTAATATTTTTGTGTATATTTATCCAAAGTTAAAAGCGTTTAACTTCTCAGAAAAGACACTTATTTTGGGAGGGAGGGAGTACTACACCTTTGGTATAGGACGTATCTCCATCTGAGATTGTTTGAAAATTTTAAAAAAAATTCAAAATATGTGAATTTAAAACAAACATGAAGCTTAGGTCAGCCATTACAACTTTGGCATTAACTATATGAAAGGAATTATAAATTTTGAATTTCAAAATCTATAAACTTAAATCACATATTTTGAACACTAAACAATTTCAAATAAAAAACTTTTTAGCTATAAAGTTATAAATTGTATTTGAATATAACTTTTTTATAGACCATGTCAACATTCGAGATTATTTGATACTCCCTTTGTCCAAGAAAGAATATAATTCTAGCACAGTGTTGCATTTTATATCTTTAATTTAACTAATTATAGATTAAAAAATATTGATATTTATGACATCAAATAAATATTATTAGATTAATTATAAAATGTATTTTCATAATAAATTAATTTAGAGTCATAAATGTGAATATTATTCACTAGAAACTTGGTCGACCATGAACCACTCTACCTGACACACAACCCGTAGTTGCATTCTTTCTTGACGGAGGGAGTAATTTTAAATTTCAAATTTCAAAGTCTGTGAACTTACAACAATATTTTAGGACCCTAAACAGATTCAATTCAAAAACTTCTTCAAAAATAAAGTTATAGATCACGTCGAGAGCTACAATTTTGATATAAAGTTTGTCTTCATCTGAGTTTATATGAAAAAATTATGAATTATTTTCTGATGCAACTATTTATAAAGACGGACATTTTAAGACGTCCTCCTCCTAAATCGATTTTAGCAGACGGACACTTAGAATGACCACCTCCAAAAATCATTGATTAATGAAGGCGATCGTCTTAAAGATGCCCCCTCCAAAAATTAACTTAACGAGACAGACGTCCTAAGGTGTCCACCTTCGTTAATTGATAATTTTAGAGGCGATCGTCTTACGAGGCCTGACGAGATCCTAATATATGAGTATGTTAAGCCTCAGGATCAAAAGTTTTTGACCAAGAGACCCCCCGACTGACCCTTCTAGATCACCGGGGGCTCGAGGGCTATACCCATCGGGTACGCTCGCACGTACCCTCAGACCAAGAAATCAGGTCGAGCCCAAGCGCGACCACCGCTTTCACTCAGGGCTCGGGGGCTCCCTCCCGAGTGATGGAAACCTGGACCTGCTCCTTAGCTCCCTCCTGGCCTCCGGCATCAACCAAGGCCCAAGCACAAGAAGGTATGCCTCGAGCCACCAAGGCTCGGGGCTCCCTCACGCTGCCCCATAGGCGTGGCTTTGTCAACCACTTCTACGAGAGGGTCACGCATGGGGCGTGACGCAAGAAGACAAACTCCTCTGTGACCTTTAGGGGCTCGGGGCCTTCCGGGTCTGAGCATCAGCCCTATGAGCCGGCCTCCTTTGCCACCAAGAAGCTTCTAGAAGGCGCACCTAGGGGAGGCCGATCTAAGCCGACATAGCACGACACCTAGCGTGTCATAATAGAGTAGCCAGATGACGCCCAGAGCTTCTTCAGCTCCACGACATCGCCATGGTCCACACAATGCCGCTGCAAGACCCTCCTAGACTCTGGCGTATATAGACCATAGGCTCAACTCCCCTAAACCGCCATGTACCCGACCTACCTTGAAATATAAGGGGAGGTCGGATCCTAAGAGGGGGAGGATGATTCCACATAGATGATTCGCGTCCTCACCATTCCACTCGAGCTCTACACCGAGAGCAGAGCAACCTAGAGAGGGGCATCGAGAGCTCCTTGTTGGTATAAATTAACGCACATAAATAAATCCACAAGTGCACGAATACTGCTGTAACTTTCACCTAGAAGTATTCCAAGTATCGTATCCACAGGGAAATATGTGAGACTAACTATGGTCTAACTTAACTATAGGTAGCAACGGTTAGGATAAACATGAGCGTAGACAGGATAACTAAGGTTCTCTAGTTCTGACTTGGGTAAGCTATGTCTTTTACTATTTAACTGGGGGACATTACTAGGGAAATACACCATCAGAGGATGCTTTCCTTCTCAACCGCGTCCTACTTGCGCCTACAGACGGCAGGTGGACTACAAAGAATCAACAAAGCTATATAGTACAAGCTATATAGAACTGATATCACACACGCGATCTACCACCTTTTGGAATGCAGGGTGCATCCATGATTAACCCAAGTCTAAGCACCACACTTGCACTTACGATTAATACTCTATTCTCTCTAGAACAGGAATAAAGCACTCAAAAGAGTCGTGATCCTGATGAACAATATAAACTAGACGCTTACTCGAATTAGAAGTTGATTACCAGAGATATCTTAAAGGCAAGCTCAAGTAGAACTTTGATCCGCTAAGGTACAAGCCATAGAGAGAGCACCGATAGACCAACACCTCCTTCAAACTCTTCCCTCACTCTCTATCTCACTATTTCTAATCATAAGACTAAATTCTATGGAGGACTAATCTTCTCTTGATAGCTGGCTCTGATCCTCATAATATGAATTAGGGTTTTAGGGATCTACTGAGGGAGGGGGTAGGGGCTAGATATATATAGGCTACAGCGTCAATCCTGAGCCCTCGGATCAAACTGACTTAAATAAACGGCGTAGATACAATCTAGGAGGCGGTGGAGACCCGACTTTCAAAGTGGAGTTGACTGGTGGGACCCATAGGATGACTGGCCTACAGGTGGGCCGGTCGGCCCCACATGGCAGCCCCTCAGGGTCTACTTCGGTGGAGAGCCTCCTAGAGTCTTCTAGAATCTTTCCACGTTATTTACGCGGTGGAATTTCGTAATTTTCTTTGACGAATAGGTCCCCATTGACAGTTTTCTGGATAAACTCTGCTAAAAACACATATTCTTCAAAACACGTGGAATTTATTAGTTTAAACCCCTATACCTATGTTTTGTGATGGAATTAGGTATAAATGCAGGTTATGTTGATGGTTTATAATTGTTGTTAGTGACCGTCAACACTCCTCCACCGCATCCGTCGTCTTCTCCACCGGCGGTGAGGCGTCCCTAGGATCAACCCCGAGCGATCCCTTGTTAAATCTCTCTCTTTCTCCTATACACTTTGCTGTAACCCCATAGATTTTGGGTGCTCTTGAGTATAAGGATCATCAGCTGCTAGACGTAGGGTATCGATTGGCCCGAACCAGGATAACCCGTTGCGTCCCCTCTGTGATTCTTATGTTCTTAAGTCCATCCAAGCCACTAGAGACACGCACTATGACACTACCACGAACAACAATGTTTGCCGCGGTTTTGACCCCGCGACAACACCCGCCTCCATAAATGATTTTGAGTCGAACAATTTTCTAGAGCCCACCTAGGCATTTATGGAGGCAGTCACTAGCAGTGCCTGCCTCCGAAATGATTTGATAGTGTCTCCTAAAATTATTTTTCTAGTAGTGTTACTTAAACCTTGCAATCACCACATTAATTGAGAAAAAGTTGCCTACATTGTTAGATTGTACTCCCTCTGTCCAAGAAAACATGCAACTATGGGTTGCATGCCGACAAAAGTAATTTACGCTTACCAAATTTCAAGTGAATTTTATTAACATTTATGACTCTAATTTAATTTATTAAGAAAATACATTTAGTAATGAATCTAATGGTATTTATTTGATATGATAAATATTTATAATTTTTACCTATAATTAATCAAACTTGAGATACTAAACCATGATACTGTGCTAGAATTACATATTTTCTGGATGGAGGGAGTATGATCTAATGGATTAGATTAAACAAAAATTGCCTCAATCAATAATTAGTAAATTTGAATAAGAAATTAAAAAATAACAATTTAATTTCATACGTGTTGGAAAAAGATACACAAACAAAGAGTCCATATAGAATACAACTAGTAAAAAAATTGAGCAAAAATTATGAAAATGTATTCAGAAAAAACATAAATAAATAACCATATAAATTATAAATACAAATATCTAAATGAAAAATTAAAAGTCACAATAAAAACTATGAAAAAAGACAATTACATCCCAACAAAAAAACTTTTTAAAAATATTTTAATTAGAAAATCTACATTTTATTACGATAAAAATTTAGCTAGCCCTTGGGAGCCACTTTTCCACTACATGAAGTTCTGTACACTTGTGATTTTTTTTTTTGAGTGGAAGTTCTGTACACTTGTGATGTACAGCGGCCTTTGTGCAGCACCGTTCAGCTGTCGTGCATCGTGAATTCGGCGATCGATCATCATCCTAGTCCTGTGCCCTGGCCCATCAAGCCAGCCCGAGTTTCCCCGCAGGCCGCAGCCCAGCACGGCCCACGGACTCATGGGTGGCAGCCGAGTGGTGCTGGACTGACGCCGCTCTACGAATGCAAAGAAGCCTCCGCCTCCGCCGATTTTCCTCGGACCTCCGCCGCCGCCGCCGCAGATATGCCTCCGCCCTAGCTACAGTAGCAGCGAAACCAGCACCTTCCCCCACAGCACCGCCGCCCCAGTTCGTCCGCGCCGCCACCCAGAGAACCCCCAATCCGCCCCGTCCCCAAATCTTGGAGCTCGCCCCGTCGCCTCCTGCCCTGCGGAGCTACGCACCCTCCCCGCGGCCGCCGGAATGCCTGCCGGTAAAGCGCCCAAGCGAGCGCGGCAAGAAGGTCCGGAGAGCGGCGGCGACCGCATCGGTGCCCTCCCGGACGAAATACTGCGCCACGTCCTCTCCTTCCTCCCCGCGCAGCAGGCCGTGCAGACATGCGTGCTCGCCCGGCGCTGGCGACACCTCTGGAAGTCCGCCACTGGCCTGCGCATCGTCGGCGCCGACGGGGAAGCGCCGGTACCCTTCAAGAAGAAGGCCCGGGAGTTTGTGGATAGCCTCTTGCTCCTCCGTGGAAGCTCGCCTCTGGAGACATTTGAGCTCAGGGTCGCCGGATCCGCTGTTGACGTTCGCCGCGTGAGGCTCTGGGTCAGGTATGCCGTGGAGTTCAAAGTCCAGGTCCTGCGGCTCAGCTTCCTTGGGAATACCTATGCTCGGATGCGGCCGGAGGACCCACCCCTCACCTCCAAGTACCTGACCAAACTAGAGCTCTGCGGTGTCGCTTTCAATGGTGACTTCCTTGACCTCTCGAGGTGTCCCGCATTGCAAGATCTAGAGATTGAAGGCTGTTCCTTCGTGGTTGCGGGAAGAATCTCATCCCAGTCCTTGAAGCGTCTAAGAATCACAAGACCCGTATTCAACCGGAGTTCCCGAACCCGTATTCATGCCCCCAATCTCACTATGCTGCATCTACAAGTCAGTTATGGCAAAACTCCTGTACTTGAGGGCATGCCCTTGTTGATTTCAGCACTTGTTGCGATCTTGGGGAAGTCTGACTGTTGCAGCCGTTCTAACTATGGGGATTGTGGTGACGAGAGCTGTGAAAATTGCATGCCAAACGACACTTCCCCCGTGCTTTTGCATGGTCTATCACAAGCAAAGAATTTAGTGTTGGGAGCTAAAGATGATACGGTATGCTTACACCTCATATCATCATGTTCATGTTCACCTTGTTTCACACATATCAAGATTGTATTAAGGATCTAATGATCAACTTGATGTTGTCTGTCCAGTATATTTTTAGAAGGGATTTGAAGTGCTGCCCTACTTTTACTCGATTGAAGTCTCTGCTGCTCAATGAAACCTGCTGTGTGCCTGATATACAAGTGCTAGCACGTATTCTTGAACATTCACCAGTTTTAGAGGAGCTTTATCTTATTCTAATTTACAAGGTAAATAATTTCTAAATGGGAAACTGTTGGATTGTGGAACTTTATATAGATTGTTTGTTGATCTTGGTGAACTCTTTGTGATACTGCAGATGCAGATGCAGGAACTTAATGTGATAATGAAAGGAAGGTTCAGTCCAAAGGAGCTACCACCCATAATATCTGCACACCTTAAGAGCGTGGTAGTCAGATGTGGAGCGGTTGATGAAAGAGTTATTCAAGTTTTGAAGTTCTTGAGTGAACTTAACATCAGTAAGTTAGCTAGTGCCTAGCAACATTCTTATGCTTTTTTTTTGTTGTTGTTTGGCTTAATATTATGGGGAAAATCAAAGTGGCAAGCAACGAGGAAACTCCATGTTAATTACTAAAGCAAAGGATTTGGGTACGCCAAGTTATTACAGGAATGAAAATCTTGCAATCGCATTCTCGCCATTACGGTGATGGGAAGCGAAAAGTGTTATGGCCAACTTCATTTGGGAAGGGGAGGCGATAGGGATAAGAAGTGGCGAGAATGAAACGAACAGGACGCCGGCGCGAATCTGGTGGCGCCGTGGTCGGGCGCGTCGGCCGAACGCAATGGGTGATGCGGAGTTTCTACCGTGAACAGTGTCTTTGGGCGCCAAGGGAGACGAGGTGTCTCAATCCCAGCTAAATCTTCATTAAGGAATTGTCTAAGCCTTATAGGCTCCCTTTGTTACAAGATGAAAACAAACTCTGATCTAACAACCTCAAGCAAGGCGCGGTTATCGCGCTCAATCCTGCTGTCATACTTGTGACGCTACTCGCATGCCCGCGATCTTGCTCGACCACTTGCCTTCCTCTTTCTCCGTAGGTCCGCCCACCATAACATCTCTCCTCCTCGAAAAACTTATTTCGTCCTTGAGCCGGAAGTCCGATGCTTGCGTCTGCAGAACTCCTCGGCTTGCACCCAGTGTTGCTTCGGATGCCGGCATGTCGACCCACTGCACAAGAATGTACCACTCCCCGCGGCGGAGACTGGAACGTAGCACGCGTTCCGGGTGCATGAGCGGCCGTCCATGGCGAAGAGGAGGAAGGGCCGGGACGTCGGACGGCGGGGTGCCGCGGAACGGCTTGAGCACCCCAACGTGGAAGACGTCATGTATGCGGGTGCCCTCGGGAAGCTTCAACCGGTGAGGCCACACCGCGTTCACTGCTCGATGACTTGGTGCGGGCGGCGAACTTAGGCCCGAGCTTGCCGCGACCTCCGTGAACCAAGGTCTTCGTGAGAGGGTGTAGAAGGCGGCCACACCCGATCGCCATCGAGAACGTGGAGCGCTGATGCTTGGCATCATAGGAACGACGAGCATGTTCTTGTGCTTGGAGCAAAGTGACGCGGACCTCCGTGAGAAACTTCGCTGCGGTTGGCGATCGCGTCCACCGTGGCCGCAGTCGCCTCCCGGCGTGTCTGGCGAGAGGTCCGGGAGGACGGCCATAGACGACGGCGAACGGCGAAGTGCGAAGCGCGGAGTGGAAGGCCATGTTATAGCAAAATTCGGCCCATGGAAGCCAGTTGAGCCAGTCGCGTGGGCGGTCGCCGGTGAGGCACCGCAAATACATTGCGATGGCCTTGTTCACCTCCTCGGATTGGCCGTCCGTTTGGGGGTGGAATGCCGTGCTGAAGCGTAGCTGCACTCCCGCCTAGCGAAAAAGATCGCGCCAGACGCGACCGGTGAAGACGGGGTCGCGGTCGCTGACGATGGAGTCGGGGAAGCCGTGTAGCCGAACAATGTCGTGGAAGAAGGCGCGGGCTACCGATGCAGCAGTGTACGGGCGCCCCAATGCGATGAAGTGCGTGTACTTCGAAAACCTGTCCACAATAGTGAGGATGACGCTTTTTCCATGCACCTTGGGCAGAGCTTCGATGAAGTCGATGGAGATGTCCGCCCAAACGCGGGATGGCACCGGCAGAGGTTGAAGAAAGCCGGCAGGGTGGAGCGCCTCCATTTTGTTGCGCTGGCATGTCGCGCATGACATGACGAAGTCACGAACGACGCGCCGGTCGTGCTCCACGTAGAACTCCGCGCGGAGGCGCTGGAGCGTCTTCTGGATCCCCTCATGCGCCCTGGTGTGAGCCAGCCGGAGCACGTCGTCGAGCACCTGCGCCGTGGCGGGCACGAACACGCGGCTGTCGTGAAGGATGAGGCCGCCGTGTACCCGCCAGGCGTCACCATGGGCACCCGCCGCGATGGCGTCCCGGCGTGCGCGTAGGGCGTCGGAGTCCTCCAGCTCGGCCCCAAGGTCCGCGAAGAGCTAGAACGTGGGGACGGACAGCGCTGCCAGGGATGGCGCTGAGTCTGGGAGCGCGGCCAGTAGGGGCGCCTCGCCATCACGCCGCGATAAGGCGTCGGCGACGACGTTGAGGCGGCCTTGACGATACTCCACCTGGAAATCATATCCGAAAAGTTTGCTAACCCAGTGATTTTGTGGGATCGTCGATAGGCGTTGGTCGAGGAGGAACTTCAGAGCATAGTGGTCGATACGGACGACGAAAGCGCGCCCCCTGAGGTAGGGCCTCCAATGCCGGACCACCTGCACCAAGCCTATGAGTTCGCGTTCGTATGCCGCGGACTTGAGGTGGCGTGCGGCGAACGGCCGGCTAAAGAAGGCGATCGGCCCATCGTCTTGGTGCAGCACCGCGCCGAAGCCGGAGCCGGAGGCGTCGCAGTCGATGACGAAATCGCGGGTGAAGTTCGGCAAGTGGAGGACGGGCGCTGCCGATAGCGCCGCCTTCAGCTCGTCGAAGGCCGTGGACGCGGCAGCGGTCCACTGGAAGTTGTTCTTCCGCAGCAGCTGTGTGAGTGGCGCGGCGATGGCGCCATAGATGCGGATGAAGCGCCGGTAATATCCGGCGAGGCCCAGGAAGCCGCGCAGCCCCTGGGTTGATCTTGGTTGCGGCCAGGCCTGGACCTCGGTCACCTTGGAGGTGTCCATGGCGACACCGGCCCCCGTGATGACGTGACCGAGGTAGTGCACCGATGGCTCGGCGAAAGAGCACTTGGAGCGCTTGACGTGGAGGCGGTGCTCGCGAAGGACGTCGAGGACGGTGCGGAGCTGCTGCAGGTGTTCTGTCCTTGTTGTGCTGTAGACGAGGATGTCATCAAAGAATACAAGTACGCACCGGCGGAGGAATGGCTTGAGGACGAAGTTCATGAGCGCCTGGAACGTCAATGGTGCATTCGAGAGCCCGAACGGCATGACGAGGAATTCGAAGTGGCCATGGTGCGTCCGGAACGCCGTTTTTGTCATGTCGGAGTGGACGCGCACCTGATGGTAGCCCGATCGAAGGTCAAGTTTGGTGAAAAATTTGGCGCCGTGCTGCTCATCGAGCAGTTCCTCGACAACAGGGATGGGGAACTTGTCCTTCACTGTCACCGCGTTCAGCGCCCTGTAATCGACACAAAACCGCCATGACGCGTCGGCTTTCTTGACAAGGAGGACGGGCGCCGAAAATGGGGACGTGCTGGTACGGATGATCCCCCGTTGGAGCATCTCTTCACACTGCCTCTCCAGTTCGTCCTTCTGGAGTTGGGGATACCTATTTGGCCGGACGGCGACTGGATCGGTGGCCGGCTTGAGGTGGATCCTGTGATCGCACGGCCGGCCCGTCGGTGCTGTGAAGACGTCGTCGTAGGCGTCGAGGAGGCGTTCGAGCAGTGCCCCCTCGGTCCCCTTGGCGGTGTAGAGGTGGCCAGCGTGAATGCGTCCCGCGCACTGGGCAGCGGAGCGTGGTGCTCCGAGGCCCTTCCAGAGGACCCGGCGCCCGTGGCGTGTGAACACCATCCACAGGGCGTCGAAGTCCCACAGGATCGGGCCGAGAGTCCGAAGCCACGCGATGCCGAGCACCATATCGTAGCAATCGAACGGGATGGAGTAGCAGTCGACCTTGAAGTCCTCCGCCCCGATCCGCACGCCCACGTCGTGCGCGAGGCCGCGACACGCGACGCGGTTGCCGTTTGCGACGACAACGTGCGCGCCGGCACTGAAGCTGAGGCCGACGCGCCACGCTGCCCCCGCGCTGATGAAGTTATGCGTGGATTCGGAGTCGAGGAGGGTCTTGAATTCGTGCTGGCCGATGTGAACGCGGAGTTGCATCGTCTCCTCGGTGCGGATGTCGGTGATCGCCGAGAGGGAGATCATGGGCGCCTCTGGGTCGAACGGCGGCGGCTCCGTTGCCTGGACTTCCTGGGCTGCGTCGTCGTCGTCGGGCGCCTCCACAATGTAGTCCGACGCCTCCAGGAAGAAGAGACGCGCGCACTTGTGCCCCCGGACGTAAGGTTCGTCGCAGTTATAACACAACCCTTGCTTGCGGCGAAGGGCCATGTCTTCTGGGGACAGGCGCTTGAACGGGCGCGCTGCTGGTGCTGTGGAGCCCCCTGGGGCGCTCGGCGTCGCGGTCTGGGCTGGCACAGCGGCCGGTGCCCCGGGCGCCCGCCGAGGAGGGCGGAGTGGCGGCGCCGGCAAGGCCAGCTGATGAGGCGTGTTCCGGCGCTCGTAGGCACGGGCCAGGAGCATTGCGCGCTGGAGGTCCTTCGGTTCGTGGAGTTCGACATCGACGCAGATGTGATCCGGTAGACCGCCGGTGAAGAGCTGCGCGTTCTGGAGCGGGGCCAGGCGGCCGGCGTGAGCCGCGCGGGCCTGAAAAGCCTCCATGTACGCGTCAACCATCGACGTGAACGGCAGGCGCGCCAGATCGGACAAATGGTTGGTTCTCAACGGCGGCCCAAAGCGCTGGTGACAGAGCCGCCGAAACTCCTCCCATGGCGGTCGGCCGCAGTCGCCCTCGAGGACGAGGTACCACTGCTGCGCCACCCCGGTTAGGTGGTAGGAGGCCAGCCAGACGCAGTCGGCATGGCGTGTTTGCTGGCCTCGGAAGAATTGCTCACACTTGTTGAGCCAACCCAGTGGATCATCTTTGCCGTCGTAGGTGGGGAATGAGAGTTTTTGGTAGCGTGGGACAGTGGGGTGGCCGGATTCAGGAGGTATGTGGGGGTGTGGAGAGGTGTAGAACACGGGAGCGGATGGCATGGATTGGGACGACGCTGGGCAGAAGCCACCGAGGATGGATGACATCGATGGCACCGGCGAGGGCGAGTGTGGAAATTGGATCTGGGTGATTGGCACCCCCGTGGATGGTGGAGGCAAGGACGTGGTGGGTGGGGTGGAGGAGGCTGGTACGGGGGGCTGGAATGGCGGAATGGAGAACAACTCGGAGCTGACCGGGGCCGGGGGCGGCAGTGTCGGGATGCCACCGTAGCCCGGAAGGCCATAGGGGTATGACATCGGCGGAACGGGTGGCCGGCTCTCGACGGAGGACATGCGCATGGACAAGTCCTCGATCTGCCTCTGCATGGATAGATGGCCGCGGCGAGGTGGCCGAACACTTCGGCCGTGGGTTCAATGGGCTAGAGTTGAGGGTTGGGTAATGACAAGGTGGTGATGATGTTGGAGGTGGGCACGACGGTGGAGGGTGGGGCGGTGGTAGTCGAAACCACGCCGGAGGAGGGTGGAGCGGTGGTGGGGATGACCGGAGCCGAGGACGACATGGTCTCTGATACCAGGTTGTTACGGCCAACTCGGCTGGGAAAGGGACGGAGGCGATAGGGATAAGAAGTGGCAGAGAACGAACGAACAGGACGCCGGCGAACTGGTGGCGCTGTGGTTGGCGCGTCGACGAACGCAGCGCTACGGAGTTACCGTGAACGGTGTGCTGGACGCCCAAGGGAGACGAGGTGTCTCAATCCCAGGCTAAATCTTCATTAAGGAATTGTCTAAGCCTTATAGGCTCCCTTTGTTACAAGATGAAAACAAACTCCTAATTTTACTCTCCTGATCTAACAACCTCAAGCAAGGCGCGGTTATCGCGCTCAATCCCGCGTCGCGCGCGGACGCGGCCTGCATGCCCGCGATCTCGCTCAGCCACTTGCCTTCCTCTTTCTCTGGTAGGTCTGGCCCACCATAACAGAAAGTATCATTTGAGTATGGGTAAATTAAATTGGCAAGCAATAAAGAAACTCTATAGTTACTCAAGCAGTGATTTGGGTATACCAAGTTATTGTGGAAATGAAAATTGTGCGCCACATTTTTGTGATGGGAAGTGGAAAATACCATTTGATCCATTTTATTCACAAGTATCTGTACACATAGACTCACTCGCCATGCTTCCATACTACAATTGTTTGCCTCTGTATGTGGGAGAGAGAAAGCAACAAAGAAACTCCAAACTTCTTCAGGAAAGTGAATGCACTCAGCTAGAGAGAAAGAAAACATGTGCACTACTTTTTTGTGGCAAAGCAGTAGTATAATGTGTTAATTATTTCTTATCATAACACAAATATGTCCGTATGTCAATTTTTTAATAAGTCCTGCTGTATATGTAATTTCTAAGTTATGCTAACTGTTACTTTCAGAAGTTCAGTTTATAATCCCCTCTTTGTTCATGGAAGTCTCTCCCCCCTCCCTCCCTCCCTCCCTCCCTGCCTGCCTCCCTCCCTCCCTCCCTCCCCTTACTAGGGTATGAGTGTCTTAGTAGAATATTCTTATCTGTTTCCCTTCTTGTTTAATTTCTTTTTATTGTTGGGTTAATCAATACCATACTTTGGAACCCTTGAATCTGTTTTCACAATCTTAGAAAGTTGTATCCTGGTGCTGTTTCAACAGTTATGAGAGTAGAAGAGTTCTATGAAAGGATGCAAATAGACAATAATGCGATACCCAAATCCATTTCGATTTGGCTACTTAATTTCTCAGCTTTGCTATCCACCTGATCATCTAGGATTCTGCATTAAGGGCTATCCGCCTCTAATGAATATCTTGATTTTCATGGCAGTAGTGTTTGTAGTGAATTTGTTACTACAAAACTAATGAAATACTGCCTCCATCTATACACACACACACACACACACACACACACACACACACACATATATATATATAATGTTTAGATTGGCCAGTATTTCTACAATTATGTGCAAATATATTTTATTTAAAAGGTGACACTCAAAGTTGCATGTCAAAATTGTTATCATGCTTAATATTCTGTTTAATGACCTGCTGGCTGTTGCCTGGGTTTCTGCCCTGGCGTGTTGCATGGGATTCTCCCCCTTTCTTAATTACTAGCTTGTGTTGCCTGGGATCTCCCCTTCCTTCTTAATTACTAGCTTAGTTTCTCCTATATATCCTTGCAACCTCTCTGCTGTTATCAATTAATCTAATATACAGAAGCATGTTTATGCTCTACAAAAAAACAATAATATACCGTGATACTTATTTAGTTGAAATTCAAAGCTGCATGTCAAAGGCTTCCAATGTCTAGAAGATGTATGCTCTTGAACAATGTTTTCAAGGCGTCGCTTTGTCGTCGCTTAATCGCCAAGGCGCTCCACGCGGGATGCCACAGCTGACGACTCGCCTTAGATTCGTATGGCGTCCGCCTTACGACCATGGCGTCCAGAAATCGTCGCTTTGGCATCCGATTCGCGCCAAATCGTGCATGGAGGGCGCCATACATGGGTCCGATTCTGGGCGGCAAACAGGAGTGCGCAGAGAGCTGGCGTGCAGGAGAAATTGGCACGCACGCAGAGAGAGACGCGCGGGAGAAATACAGCGCAGAGAGAGGAGCGCGCGGGAGATCTTGAAGGGGAGACGGCAGCGGCTGTCGATCTGAGAGCACTGCCCAGAGAGGAAGGGGAAGCAGAGGAGAGAGAGGATGGGGAAGCAGAGGGGCGGAGGGAAGAGCAGAGCAGCGCATTAGGAGGAGAGGGAAGCAGAGCAGGGCATCCGGAGAGGGGCGGAGGGAAGCTGAGCAGCCACTCGTGCGGTTGTGCCGTCGTGCGGAGGCGGAATAGCAGTGGGGAGCGGCGGCGCTGATGGGGGTCGGTAACTCGGGATAGGGACGTCGATGAAGCCACACGCCAGGTGGGGAAGGAGCACATGGGCTGCCTAGTGGTCTGGGCGAGCCCACTTCTTACTCGGCTCCTTCCTTTTTCTTTTTTTCCTTTTTTTTCTTCAACTACTGCTCTAAGCTGCTGTTTCTATTTTTTAATTAATTTCTTAAGGCGTCGCCTCGCCTCATGCTTAGTCGCTTAAGCGTAAGGTGGTAGTTAGTCGCCTCGCCTCGCCTTACCGCCTTGAAAACATTGCCCTTGAATGCTGAAGTATTTGTTAAGGATTCTACTGTAGCTACATTTTAGTTGTTCATAACTCCAGCTTTGGAAAAGTTACTGTTTAGTCAAGTGAAATTTTCATAAGCTAGTCTTTTCCTGTATCTCATCTTTTCTCGCCTTTTTTACTTCTCAATAATTTGTCAGATGATACCCCTTGTCACTTACTATGCTTTTCAATTTGTACAGGTTTCAGTTTCACGGAAGAGAAGCTTAAAGCTGAAGGCTGATCTTCTGCCACTTAATTACATTAGGAAACTAAGAGCCACTGACAACTGATATCACTAGGAATGTTGCCCTTCCTTTGGGATTGTTTTAAGTTCCACTTGTACCAAGTTAAGATTATCTACTTGGACCTGATGAGTTTGATCCGGGGAAGCACTTATCTGCCAATTGTGTAAGCATATATGCTGCCTTTTAGGTCTGTTCGGCTGGTATTAAAGCCGGCTGATAAGTCGGCTGAAGCTGTTTTGTTGTGAGAGAAAAATACTGTAGATTCTAGCTGATAAGCCGGCTGATAAGTTCAAGCGAACAGGCTGACCTTGTTTACCGTGCCATGCGGTTTCTTGCAACCTTTCCTGAGTAGCTTGCTCAAGGTGCCTAGCTGCTCTTTTTCCTGGAAGTATGCCAGATCAACCCTGTTGCATGTATCTTCTTGTTATTTGCATGCCTATTGTCTTGTTCTTCCTAAATGAGACAGATATGTGGCCTGGTACTTAATGCCCATGGATTGTAACTTTGATGTGTAAAATGGCGTCCAATGATGTTCCTCCTGGTTTCCAAATAATCTCCTGACTTCTCTGGTTGCCATGTTCGATTAATGAAATGAGCATGATTCGGATACACATATCGCAAACTGATCTTATATTATTGCACAAATTGCTTGCACCTTCTTCACTTCTACTGATTTTAAGAAATGATCAAGCAATTTCCTCTCCCAAATTAAGAAATAAATAAATAAATAAAGCTATGCAGCGTTCGAGCCGGTGCTGCCGGCTCAAAATCTGGCCATCTACTTTAGTTATAGTTGGACTGGATGTCACGAGTGACGAGTTGACATGTTAGTTCGACTGCACTCTACTACTTAATATGGTTTTTTAGGCAATCTGAGCCGATTCTTGTTCATTTGGCCTAACAGCGAGGCTAGCGCCGGGACGTCCGGATGGACGCGTGCGCCTAGACGTTCAGACAGCCTGCACAGCTCATCCCAGTCCGCCATCGCCCCACCCACATCTGGATTCGCCCCGCCTGACCGCGCACGTATTTGTGCCCGCTGGTCATTCCCCAAACCCGCTCCTCTGGCACGGGGGGCACTCGAGAGCTGGGACCCGGCGTGCCCCCGATCTGAGCACCCATCCGCTCGCCCCCAGCGCCCCCATCTGCAGCCTCCCGATGCGCCGTGCGCACCGTGCGGCTCCCCCCAGCTGGCCCCTGGTCAAACAACACAAAACACTTGTAACATGAAAAAATTTAAATGCAACGTACGTATGAAAACAGATGAAACACTTGAACACTTGGAAATATGCACTTGCAACATGTGTGTGGAACACATGAAACATCCAAAAATAACACTTGCAACTTGCAACATGAAACTACTTACTGCAACATAAGACTGAAACAACTGAAACATTTTGGAACCTACTGTTGCAACATATGTGTGAAACATATGCAACATCCAGATAAAAATCAATTGCAACATACGTCTGGAAACAGATAAAACATTTTTTAACAAACGCTTACAACATGCATCTGAAATACTTGCAATATATGCATCATGTGTAACATCCCCCGATCTACTTTTACAACATCAAAATAGAACAATTGCAACATACATCTGAAACAATTGAAACATACATATGCAACATAGGTGAGGGGAAGGTCGGGGCCCGTCGATTCTAGCTGTAGGGGTCAGAGCCGGCAGCGAGCGGCAGCGCACGAGCACCACCACCTCCAGTAGCGGGCGCACTAGCACCATCGGCGCACGCGCGGCACAGCCACCAGCACCGGTCTTGGCTCGGCGGGGCGGCTGGCGCGCGTGACGGGCGGAGTGAGCACCATCAGCACCAGTGCGCACGATGGGAGGGGCGAGAAGCGCTCGCAACGGGGGCGAGCGACCGGCGGCGGATGGGGTGCGCGGCAGCAGCGAGGTAGAGTGGCATCCGCGTTTAGGACGTGACGGACAGAGTGGCAGCCGCAGGACGATGTGGTGGAGAGGATGGAGCGGAAAGGATAAAAAGGTTTTTTCTTTTTTTTAGAACGGTTGGAGACGAGTGCGAGTGGATGAGCGGTCATTGGGCTACGTCATAGCCCACCATCGACACCGTCCGAGCTGACGGATGCCTTATACCCAGCATTACGGTTGGCCTAATCCAGCCTTTTCAATTACCTCTTTGTTATTGTGTCCCTCGATTCAAAACGGTGAGGTAGCAAGATTGGAAACAAAAACTAGCTACACGTTGCCTTGGGCGTTTGTCAAATTGTATCCTTAAAATATGATTTCGACGTGCCTACCAATTTTTCTTTGGTGCTGAGAGTTGAAACCGCTGTTAACTGGATGCGATATTGCAGCGGCTTTGGACTTGGGTTTTATTTACTAACCAGGATGCTACAGAGTGTTCATGCTGCAGGTTATTTGTCATTTTGTCCTGTACAAAGTCCAGTTCATGGCTCTTAATTTTCCCTCATTGAATTGGTTCCATGTTACAGAAACGTTTAATAGGAAACAATACAGCCTTACTAAAGATTACTCGCTGTTTGTAGTATGCTCCGCTAAATTGATCCATTAATTGAGAAGCTTAATGTGCCATTAAGGAAGGGTAAGGATTCCTGATGTGATATGTATTTCCTCTTCTCATGTCACTCCTTATAGATGAATGCCTGGCTTCTTCTACCTTCTCAGTTTATAGAACCGATCCAGTGATTAATACGATAAACGAGATATTTATTAAGGATTTCGCTGAAAGTGAGAATAACCTTGGCAGCAAGGATGCAAGCTTCTTTATCACTGGAATTCTTTTGCCACCTGTTTCAAAGGTAACCATATAGTTCTTGCTTTTTTACTCAGTCAAATTAATCAGATGCACCTTCATTAATTATTTCACTACATATAAGTACATAATCCCATTTGGCAAAGAAATTTCTAGGTACCTGCTATTATTTTGTATGATCTACTGCTCATTTCCATATGGTGACATCCTAATGCACTTCCACCAATTAAACAAGACTCTTGATTGCTTTCGAAATGCGCCAAATAATCTTTGTGTATACTGTATTATTTTTAATTTCTTTAATCACTTACCATTTCAGTTTCACATGAGTTACTGGTCATATTATTTTCGTCTGTTCACACTCCTTGGACTTATTTGTCGAACAATTGCAGCACTGAACTCACGCCAAATGCAAACTATTAATCTTTCTTTGTATATTTCCTTATCCCGACAAGTGCTTATGCCTACACATCTCCTATAACTTCTGTAATTTGATGCCATACATCTTATGCTGCTGTACTGAACCGATGGCAAATGCCATCTTTTCCTTATATAAATATAAGTTCTATGGGCTTAATTCACCTACAAACGTTGTATGTCTGTTATGACCGGTAAGGTCTATAGGCGTAGACGCCTAGATAAGAGTCCGGCTTAGCCGGCTGGTTGGCTAGGAGTCCCGCTCAGCCGGCCTGTTGGTTATCAGGTCCTAGAATATAGGATGGTTATCTATTAGAGTTGGTTATTGGATTGAGTTAGGTTTGAGTCGGTTGAGATCTACTTGTATAAATATTAAAGAATTATAATAGAGGAGGTAACCTGGGATTGAGACTTACCGTCTCCCATGGGTGCCCAGCCACGTTATTGTTCATCGTCTCCTCTTGCCGCAGCCACCACGGCTCCTGCCCGCCAAGCCCTAACTCGCTCTCGCGTTCCTCGATCTCCTCCATACTTCCTTCGAAGCAAAGCCCGCCGCCGTAACAACCTGGTATCAGAGACCATGGTGACATCCGGGGACTTGTCGGCGACGGTCCCTCCCTCCTCCGCCGTTCCCACGATCGGCGTGCCCGCCGCCGTCGGGCCATAATCCGCCGGGTTGCTGCCACTGGTGGCCACATCGGCCACCCTTCTGGCCACTGTGCCGACCGCATCACAACCCATGTCGACTGTGGAGGCGCTCCAGGCGCTGACACAAGCAATCGCGGGCCTCCAACTCCAGATGACAGCCGTCAACCACCACCTGGCGGACCAGGGCGCCCGGCTGTCCGCGATCGACGGCCTACCGGCGTTCCCGCAATTCGGCGTGCCGGGGTTCGGTGGGGTTCCAGCCCTTCCCGCGGCCTCCGCTCCAGGGATCTCCGAGGTCGCTGCGGCGTCTGCGGAATCAGCCGTGGCGCAACAGCCGTTTGGGCCAGGGTCATCTTCAACGGCAAACGGCTCAAGGCCGCCTGCTCCACCACCGTCGACGGGAGTACCAATCACCCAGATCAAGTTTCCGCACTCACCGTCACCGCTGCCTGTGTTCTCTTCTACAGGACTGCCCTACGTCTCGGCGCCGACGTCGCACATGTCCTCCATGCCGCCACAGATCCCCTTACCGCCAGAAGTGGAGGGCATGGCTGTGCCAAAGTACCACAAATTGACGTTCGCCACCTACGACGGCAAAGAAGACCCGCTCGGCTGGCTCAACAAGTGCAAGCAGTTTTTCTGAAGACAGATGACACGGGAGGTAGACAAGGTCTGGCTTGCATCATACCATCTCACGTGCGTGGCTCAGCAGTGGTACCTCGTCTTGGAAGGCGACATCGGACGCCCCGAGTGGCCGGACTTCCGTCGCATGTGTCAACAGCGCTTTGGGCCGGCCCTCATCACCAACCACCTCGCCGACTTGGCGTGGCTGTCGTTCGGAGGATCGGTGGACGCGTACATGGCGGAGTTTCAAGCCCGGGCCGCTCACGCCGGCGACCTGTCTACGCTGCAGAAGGCACGGCTGTTCACCGGCGGGCTGCCGGAACACATCCGCATCGACGTCGAGCTCCTCGAGCCACATGACCTACAGCATGCCATGCGGCTTGCGCGCGCTTATGAGCGCCGCAACGCCTCACAGGCTCCTGCCTTGCCGGAACCGCGCTTGGCGCGCTGCCCTGTTGGCACACCAGCCGCGCTGCCTGCACCAGCAGCATCCAGCGCCAACTCGTCGTCATCCGCGCCACGCACGTTCAAGCGCCTCACACCAGAAGAGATGG